CCACCCCGAAGATGACCACTCTTCGGGTGCTGCTGCACATAGCCGCTCAGCGCGACTACGAGCTTCACTCTCTTGACTTCAGCACAGCTTTTCTGCAGGGCAGCCTGCACGAGGAGATCTGGCTGCGCCGCCCACCTGGCTTCACTGGGTCGTTTCCTCCTGGTACCCAGTGGAGCCTCCGGCGGCCAGTCTACGGTCTCCGCCAGGCGCCCCGTGAGTGGCACGACACACTGAGGACTACACTTGCGGCTCTTGGGTTTGCTCCTTCTACTGCCGACCCGTCGCTGTTTCTGCGCACCGATACCTCTTTGCCGCCGCTCTACATCCTCGTGTACGTCGAAGACTTGGTCTTTGCCACTACTGACACTGCTGGACTCGCCCACGTGAAGTCCGAGCTGCAGAAGAGACTCACGTGCACAGACCTGGGTGAACTGCGCAGCTACCTTGGCTTGCAGATCACCGAGGACACAGCACAGCACACCATCACCCTGACTCAGTCACACATGGTGCAGCAGGTCCTTCAGCGCTTCGACTTCACGTACTCCTCGCCTCAGGCCACTCCTCTGTCTACTCGCCACTCGCTCTCAGCTCTGCCTTCGGATGAGTCCGTAGAGCCGAGTGGCCCGTACCGAGAGCTTGTTGGTTGCCTCATGTACCTGATGACCTGCACACGACCTGACCTTGCATACCCTCTTAGCATCTTGGCACGCTATGTTGCTCCTGGGAGACACCGACCAGAGCACATGGCTGCAGCGAAGAGGGTGTTGCGCTACTTGTGCAGTACGTCGTGCATGGGGCTAGTGCTTGGAGGGCGACGTCCAGTGGTCCTCACAGGTCACGCAGACGCTTCTTGGGCTGACGACCAGGCTACGCAGTGGTCGTCACAGGGTTACACCTTCAGCCTTGGTTCCGGCTCTGTTTTGTGGCGGTCTACCCGCTTGTCTTCTGTTCTCGGCTCCAGCTGTGAGGCTGAGATCTACGCGGGGGCCATGGGTGCACAAGAGCTACGCTGGCTCACCTACCTGGTGACTGACATAGGAGAGGCGCCTCGTTCTCCTCAAGTTCTGTACGTAGACAACAAGGCCATGCTGGCCTTGTGTCGGGAGCACAGACTGGAGCACAGAACGAAGCACATTGCTCTTCGCTACTTCCTTGCTCGTGAGCTGCAGCAGCGTGGTCAGCTGCGCCTTGCTTACGTGGCCTCTGAGGCCAACGCTGCTGATATCTTTACCAAGGCACTTCCGCCTTTTGATCATCAGCGCTTCTGTACGATGCTAGGTCTTGTGCCTACTTGGCCTCACTTGCTCACTTCTTGACCTTGCTTGTACTGTGATCTTTGTATACTTGCACTTGCTTGTTTAGCTTTATATATGATCTTGCATGTGAACTGGCCTTGTGGCCTTGGACTTGTGCTCGGAATGTGTGGTGACGTTGTGATCCACCGTGAGCTTGCTTTGCTTTGCTTGACTGGTCTTGTGACCTCTTGTTCTCCCCCACTTTGCCTATGGGGGTGTGTCAAACTCATATGCTATAGTCTTTGTAGGCTGTAGTGGGGTAGACAATATGGGGTACAACACTTTTAGGTTCTCCCACTTGTACCCACCTTCTTGCTAGTTCATTCATTCCTCGTTCTTTCACAGTTGTGAATGAAGATCATGTTGGTGAGTGAGGCTCCATGCGATGCTGTGTTGAGGCGTGCTTGCCGGAAGAGTGCACGGGCTGAGGGGGGGGTTTTAAGGGATAGAACAGAGAATGGAAGTGGAATGTAGAGGTGGGAGGGGCTGTGGATGAAGATGATGTTGGTGAGAGCGGCTCCGTGTGATGCTATGGAGAGGTGTGCTTGCAAAAAGAGAGCACGGGGTGGAAGGGGAAGAGGACGGAATGGAAATGGAACGGAGGGGTAGCGGAAAAAAGTAAGGTTTGATATGTAGGAGTCTGTATTTAAGACATGTCAAATGCATGACCTACTATGTAGAATCACTTCCTCAAAAATGTTTTTTTTGCTATTTATTTATTTATATATTTAAATAAAAGTGTAACAACACTGAATGTTATGGCACATCCTTGGCCTGCTATGTAGGATCAGGCCACAAAGGCATGCCGCCAAGCCAACCGCCAACCCTCTATGCACGAAGAAATCTTATACTGGGAGGGTGCTGAGACGCATGACTGCATGAGGCATGATAGTGATTGCGAGAGTGATTGCGGCTTGGCAGGATGAAAGGGGAAGTTTCAAGCGGAGTGTTGATGGGCATGTAAGGATGCAAAATGCGAATGTCAATACTTTAGGTGCTTCAAAAGTAGTGTGGTGTGGACGGGGCACAGACAATTCACGGTATGGAAAGCAACATGTTTTGAATGGCGACATGGGTTTAATTCGCGAATGTGAAGCTTTTGAGAGTTCTAAAAAGCGACCGAGGTGACTTTGAGCCGACTAAAAAAGTCACTTCAAAGGCAACCCAGGAAAAGGAGCTGGGGACTCGCAGCAACCAACGACACGCATGACTGCAATGCTCCTACATCGTGAGAAGTGGTTGAAGAATGGTTTAGTCATTTTATTTGAGCCTCAGTAGCTATTTGAGACGCACCTACACGTGCGCAAGGGCACATACACACACATGTTTGTATATACACAAACTTTTGCACGCTTGCACACTCCTCACCTTGCAGAAACGGCAGCGACCCATCAAACACCACCACCCTTTCACGTCCAAACTGCCTCACCACCTCCTCCTCCACCTCCCAGAAATTCAGCATGGTCCGATTCCTCCCTTTCGCCCGCTTGGCAAGCACGACCACCCAGTCGGAGGGGAAGGAGCGAGCCTCGGCGGGGGAGAGACGGCGGTGGCTGCGGTAGGTCCAGTCGGGGTTCAAGAGAGGGATGCCGTGTCAGAGGTCCACTGGTGATTCCTGATTGATCATAGGGAAGGGTTACAGGCATGTTGGCCTGGGGGCGCACTGACCCGCTACTTAACAAGCCCATTTATCCCAATGGTCCAGTGGTTGGGATTCTGACTTGTTATCAGAGCGAAGGTCTCGGGTTCGAATCCTAGTGTGTGCACTTCGAGCATCCCAGTGCGGGGGGGTATCAGAGGTCCACTGGTGATCCCCGATTGATCCTAGGGAAGGGATACATGCATGTTAGTCTGGGGGTTTATGGGCGCACTAACCCGCTACTTAACAAGCCCATTTATCCCAATTGTCTAGTGGTTGGGATTTTGACATGCCGGAGGGGTGCAGCAGATGGCGGCGCTGCAGTAACTGCTAGAGCGACCGGCTGGGATGCTGGCAGTTTTGAAAGATGGGCGGGGGGAGGAAAATGGGTGGCCGGCCAAAAAAGAAAAGAAATGAATAAAAAAAATGAGATTATACAAATAATCCCAATGGATATGATCAAATCTATCTATGTGATGTTGCATGTCCCCTAAATCTAACTGCATGGCATACATACAGATAGAACGAAATCGGAATGGATACATGACACACAAATTGATAAGGATTCCTCCTCACACGTCTTTGCCATAAATGTTCACTCTGCAGTGTTGCCAATGACAGACACCATAAAATACTTCCCTCCGGTGCCAGAGAGACGGTCGACTCTACGACTTTGACCATCGAGCACGACGCCTCCCCGTCGCCTCGGTGCACGAGCTGCCAATAGCAGTGTTCAACTGGGCAGTCCATGCGGGAAACGACTTCTACCATTTCCTCGTTGAACTCGTGCCGATATTTCTTGCCGCCGCGCCTCTCATGGCCTCCACTTTGCGCCACCTGCCCGTGCTAGCCAGGGATATCCAGGTGGGTGGGGTTCGGTTTGAGCAGTGCCTGGAGTGAGGCAATGGCAATCTCTTAGGCGCCTAGAAAGACACGCTTCTCATGGCATCTTAGTTCTCATGGCATCCTGGTTCTCATGGCATCCTAGTTCTCATGGCATCCTAGTTCTCAAGGCATCCTGGTTCTCATGGCATCATGGTTCTCATGGCATCCTGGTTCTCATGGCGTCCACACTGTGCCACCTGCCTGTGCTCACCAGGGACGTCCAGGTGGGACATTGAGTAAAAAAAGGAAGGAAGGGAACAGAAAAAAAAGCTCAGGTGGGTATGGCTCGAGCAGTACTTGTATGAAAGCCCTTGCTTGCACCATGTCCGCTCAGCACCATGTTTGCACAGCACCATGTTCGCACAGCACCATATCCGCACAGCACCATGTCCGGACAGCACCATGTCCGCACAGCACCATGTCCGCACAGCACCATGTCCGCACAACACCATGTCCGCACAACACCATGTTAGCCCACCACCACCTGCCTGTTCTCGCTAGAAGTGTCCAGGTGGGTTCAGTTCGGTTTGAACAGCCATTTGGATGATTTACAATAGCTGTTGCAGCTGCACCCTCTCGCTGCACTATTGTGCTGTGGGCCGGGTATCTGCTGTTGGGCAATGTCGTATGAACACCTGGGTGCTCCATCCACTCATAGGCACACATTGAGTCGACTAAAGCTTATTTCCTATCTCATAGTCTTATGCCACTCGTTGCAGGCAGGCACGTATGTATGAGCAGCTGGGTGCTCCACTGATTGCCATACATTGAGTCGACTGAAAACTCATTCCCATCCCATATTCCCGTGGCACTCATTGCTGCAGGAGCGTATGTATGAGCACATGGCCGCTTCACTCATAGGCATCCGTCCCAGCAGATCAGATTCGTTTTGAAGCGACTTAACAAATCATTCCAGTGTCATTCCCTTGCCTCCCATGCCATTCCCTTGCCACCCACCCATGTCCATGCCGCTCCTACCGGCAGGTGCGCATGTGCGAGCAGCTGGGCGCTGAACTCGTTGGCATATATTGAGTCGACATGTGACTTCATCCCATCCCATATTCCCATTCCAATACCATCTTCCCATTCCCCTGCCATGTGTTCCACGAGCAGGTGCGCATGTATGAGCAGCTGGGGGCTGAACTCGTTGGCATCCCACAGATCGAATTCACCTGCTTCCCATGACCAGCAAAGATCTCTTTCACGCCAATGTGGTGCACCAGGTACAGGCATGCATGGCATGGCATGGCATTACATAGCATGGCATGGCATGGCATGGCGCGGCATGGCATGGCATGGCATGGCATGCAGATGGAAAGGAGTAGGTAGGCTGCATTCTCACATGCCATGCCTTGCCATGCCATGCCAACCATGCTATCACATGCCATCTCATCCCATGCCATGGTATGTCATCCAATGCCATCCCATGGCATGTCATATCAGATCAGACCTTCTCACATCTGCCCTTGACCTGATTTCAAACCATCCATCTCTCTCACGCTCTTCCCTCACCTTTCCTCTTTTCGCCCCACTCCAGAACCCTCTCCCACTTCGTTCCCTTCCCGCTCTTCTTCCCTCCCATCCCCCATTCCTGAGCCCATATATCAGGACTACGACCATCCCAACCTCCCTCGTTAACCCTGTCCCCCATTCCCCCCCCCCTCCCCCATCCCCCCCATCCCCAGCCCATATACCAAGACTGCGACCATCCCAGCCGAGCCCTCATTCCCCGTCTCCCCCCTCTCTCTCTCTCTCCCCATTTCCCATTCCCCCATTCCACCCCCCATCCCCAACCCATATACCAAGACAGCGACCATCCCAGCCGAGCCCTAATCCCGCATCCCCATCACCTCCTTTCGCTTCGCCCCCCTCCCTCTCTCATCCACCTCCCCCACCTCCCCCATCCCCCAGCCCATATACCAAGACTACGACCGCCCCAGCCGGTCGCTCTGGCAGTTGCTGCGGCGCCGCCATCTGCTGCACCCCTCCGGCATCCCTCTCTTCAACCCCGACCGGACCTACCGCAGCCACCGCCCTCTCTCCCCCGCCGAGGCTCGTTCCCTCCCCTCTGACTGGGTGGTCGTGCTGGGGAATTGGCCAAAGTCGAGGACGCAGGCTATGGCGAATTTTGAAGAGGTGGAGGCGGAGGTGGTGAGGCGGTTAGGGCACGAGAGAGTGGTGGTGTTTAACGGGTTGCTGCCGATTCTTCAAGGTGAGTGGTGTCTCCAGGGTGGGTGATTGTGCAAGGTGGGTGATGCAGTTTGAGCTTTTGAACATTTTCCAAATGCTCCAATATTTTCTTTGCTTGTTCTTTCATTGCAGCCATGCATGTGCGCTGTTGGGACCTCTCGCTCCTCATCTTCTGCTCCGTTTCCTGAACTTGTTCCCCTCTCCTTCCGTGTCGCCCCGTTCTCAGTCCGTGCGCTCTTCTCATGAGCGAGCCTGTACATAGCAGCCCACGGAGCGGCCCTTGCCAACATGGTCTTCATGCCGGAGGAAAGCTCGGTGCTCGAGATTCGCCCTGAGGGTTGCCATGTGATCGTGTACCACGCTCTCGCCAGAGCTTGCTCCCTGCGCTACCATCTCATTTTCAGCAAGGGTGATCGGTTCTCGCTGATTGTGGATAATATGACGAATGTGGCTGAGGTGCTTGACTCGCTTCATGCCCGAATTCAAAAGGAGGATAATGGAGGTGTGTCGTTGTACTAATCAAGCCCAATTGGAATTGTTGATACGGTTTTGTTGGAGGCACTGTGAATGTATTTTCCTTCTGGGTGGTATTGCGCGTTTACCTGGCCTCTTTTGTATGAATTGTGTTCTTGTACAGTTTGGCGCGCCCAAGCTTGGTTAAGAGTAAATATATTCAGCGTTTCTTTTTGTACCTAGCACCGTTTTAACCATTCGATTTCCCCCTTGTTTCCCCTTACAAAAGGGCTGAAAAAAGTTTTTTTTTTCTTGAACCGCGGCTGATGGATCAACCATTCTCCTCAAACAATGAATGACCTGCTCTGTTGTGAATGGTTAACCTAAAGTAACAGCTCTGATTTTAAAGAAGAAATAGACATCACGCATGAGAAAACATCCCACCTTTCCTTGCTAAAAAGAAATATACAACCCTCTACATCTTCTATAGGACTCAAGTATTTGCACCCATGCCCTCACCTCCAGCATCCTCTATTTGAAACCGAGCCTGTATTGTATCAAGCACCCGAGCCACACTAGTCACATTAGCCACCACACGGGACGAACAGTTACCTTGGCTGAACACGAGATGGTACCGCAGCGAGCAGGCAGAGGCGAGACCATTGTATACACAGGTTGGGCAGTCCTGGGGCCGAATTTCAAGCAAAGACGCCTTTCCCGGCATGAAGATCAGGTTGGTGAGTGCTGCTCCGTGTGCCGCTATGAAGAGGCGCGCTCGCCAAAAGAGCGCAAGCGCTGCGGGGGAGGGGGGGGGGGCGGGTGGAAGAGGGTTAGTGGAAAGAAAAAAGGACAGGATTATAGATTAAGAGGGTTGCCCGAACCACTAGAGAGCACCACTGTCTTCCAACCAACACGAGGTACTTTTCAGTCGACTCAAAAGTCACCAACGCACAAGAAAGAGAATGACTAGCAGGAGTGGACCCTCTGGTCTACCCACCTTCCAGAATCGGCATCGACCCGATATGCAGCACCACTGGAGCTCCAGACTGGAGCTATGGTCTTTATGTGGCAGCAACTGATTCAACTTGTAAGAAGTAGTTGTTAGTAAAACCCACCTTCCAGAATCGGCATCGACCCAGTGTGCAGCACCACTCTCTTGCTCCCAAACGGCCGCACCACCTCCTCCTCCACCTCTTCAAAATTCACCACCGCCCGTTTCTTCCCTTTCAGCCGCTTTGCCAGCACGACCACCCAGTCGGAGGGGAAGGAGCGCGCTTCAGCAAGGGAGAGAGGGCGGTGGCTGTGGTAAGTCCAGTCAAGGTTGAAGAGAGGGATGCCGGACGGGTGCAACAGATGGCGGCGCCGCATCATTTGCCAGAGAGACGGGCTGGGAGTGTGGCATTCTTGATAGATAGGCTGGGGGAAAGGGATGGGAGGGAATGGCATTGTAGTTTAGGCGAATGGTCTGGAGGGTTGACACAGATGGCAGCGGTGCAGAAAATTCTAGAAAGACCGCATGGGATAGTGACCGTCCTGATATATGGGTTGGGGGACGGATGGAGGAGGTAAGTGAGATGGAGCGCGAAGGGAGATGACATGCTGGCGGTGGGAGAACAGGGATGGACATGACTGGCTGTCGGAGTAAAAAAAAAAAATAGAAAACATAAAAAATCCAACAGAAGAAATAAAGGGGAAAAAAGGGGAATAAAACTCTTACCTGGTACACCACATCTGCGTGAAACATGTCATTTTCGTAAGTGGGGAGCAGGCGAACCTTATCGGGCAGGATGCCTAAGAGTGGCGCACCCAGCTACTCTCGCACCTGAGGGGAGAGGAATGGACTTGACATGGCATGACATGGAAATGAGATGGGCAATACGATGGGAATGACAGGCACGGGATGAGAAATGGTTGGCGGTCAAGTTTAAAATGGGCATAAGATGGCAACGCCTGGAGAACACAGGAAGGTGGACGTTGCTGCAACAGCAAGCACGGGCGAGGACGAGCCTACACCAGCTACTGTGAGAGGTGTGCATGCGCAGCTTGCGTCACACCCCACGTGGTCCCACCTGGTGACGCCTGACGAGCACGGGCTGGTGTCGCAGCGTGGAGGGCATGAGGGGCGCGGCGACGAGGAAGAGCGGAACAAGCTCCACGAGTAAATGGAAGAAGTTGCTGGCGGGACGGTGCGCCCAGCTGAACACCGCTGGCAGCTCGTGCACCATGTGACCCGTGTCGTACGTGGCCGGCTGGTGGAATGGAAGGGAAGGGAAGGGGATAGGGGAAGGGAAGGGGATTAAGGGAAGAGACTGCTGAGAATCCCCAAACGCAAAGCACTAGCAGGTCGGTGCGCCCAGTTGAAGGCTGCTGGCAGCTCGTGCACCATGTGATTGGCATCGTACGTGGCCAGCTGGTGGAAGGGAAGGGAGGGAAGGGAAGGTAAGGTAAGGGAGTGGAATGGAAGAGAAGGGAGGGAGTGCACAACTCGAGGACATGAGAACATGAGAACATGAGGACATGAGAACATGAGAACATGAGGACATGATAACACACACACACACGCGCGCAGGCATACACGCACTCTCTCCCTGTCTCCCACACAACTCCTACTCACTATTACTGGAAAGCTTGGATATCCTCGCCTGACGAACAGGTGTGTGCGTTTGAGAGCAAACCCATGATCAAACACATCCTCCAGCCGCATCATCTGCAGCGCGGCCGCCTTGCGTCTGTTGAAGTCCCCCCTGTGCGAGCACGACTCGTCAAACGGCACTATATGAGTGCTTTTGTCGTACCCCGCGCTATCTTGTTTAAGGGGGCAATTTATAGGGGGGATGATTTCAGTCTCGGGTTCGTCCACGAGGTGGGGGTTCCAGCAAGCCTGCACGTTGGGGAAGCGGGCGGTGCATGAGCCGAAGGAGGGGCAGGGAGGGTCGTGGCACCGCAACTGCGGCAGGGCCCATTCTGATTCACCAAGTAACACACCGTTTGTGGCTGTGCTTGGTTTGTTCCCTGTACGATTGCCGCTTGAACTGATGTAACCCGGTTTGAAACCTGAACTGTCACGGGAACCGTCACTGGAATCGCCACCCGAAGTGGCGCCGGCGCCTGACGCGCCACCCGAGCTGCCTGGCTGGTTCGGATTGCTGACGATGCTGCGGAGGAGAGGATCGTAGAAGGCAGGCTTTTCGTAGAAATCGAGGAGCACACCAGGCAAGCCTGCGGTTGAGAGAGGAAAATCGAGTGGACGAGTCGCAAGGCTGACTCGCTCCGGGTGGGTCCTGGCGTGGCAGGGAGGGAGGGGAGGCAAAGAGAGTGGGATGATTGATGAAAGGGAGTGGGAGGGGAAAGGGGGACGGGAATTGAATGGAGCTGCAACAAACTGTAGCCGAACTGACTAGCTACTGGCCTGACCTGAAGAAAGGCTTTTGCCAGGTGACTTAAATCGCAAGAGGTTGTAACAAGGTTCGTCAGCTGACCTACAAGTTTTTGGCAGGTAATAGTTGAGCTGGCCTTCAAAGTCGCCCACCCTGCCCGCCAGATGCCGGCCCGGAGATTTCTGGCCGTTGATCGCTGCTGGGTTGAAGGACGGGAAAGGAAGGGGAAGGAAGGGGAGGAATAAAAAATTAGGGAAAGGAAGGGGAAGGAAGGACAGGAAGGAAGGGGTAGGAAAGGTAAGGAGGAAGGAAGGGAAGCGAAATGGGGCCACGGGTACGAAGGAGAGAAGTAGGGAGCGCTGCAGCTTCGCTGGGTTCATTTCGCCAAAAGTTCCAAATGTGTGCACTGACTGAAACCGTCAGAAGTGTGTGCATTGACGAAAACCGTCAAGAACAAGATGAGAAAAAGGGAGGGGTAGATCGTTGCGACGCCTACTTTCGCCACCACCATTCACGGCGGTGGATTTGAACGTGAACTCGCTGCCACTAGACGCATTGACGGAAACCGTCAAGAGGACTGCAATGACCACCGGCAATAGCCAGCGACATCTGGCAATGGCGCGTGCCGCCATCTTAAAGTCCGTCAAAGATTGAGAGCACTGGAAGCGGTTTCTACGAGAAGCCTGCTTTTGAGTCAACTCAAAAGCAGATTGAGTTGAGAGTAGTGGAAGCGGCTACTACGAGAAGCAGTTTAGTGAGATGCTATGACAGCACTCATATGGTAAGAGCACCCCGAATTGGAGCCTGGAAGTTATGTCTAGGTAACTTCAGGAATGTATTTGGCCCACAAAAGTTGGGACAGACAGCAGAGTGGCAAGCACAAGTCTTGCCGGAGCTTTGGGGTCGACATGACACCTTAAGCTGCATAAGTAGTAGGTAGGAAAGGTTACAGCTTGCTGCACCGGATGCGTGACAAGGAGGCCAGGAAGGCGCCGACTTACCTGGCAGATGGGATAGGTCTGGGATTGGATGGGTCTACCGCTCCTGGCCACCAGGAGACTCACGTTATAACTAGACCATCTTTCTGCGGCAGAGAGTATCCTGATAAGACGGCTGCTTCACCTGGCCGCAGGGGATGGGACTGTGTGGATAGGGCTGCGTGTGGATGGGATGGAACTGCCTCACCTGGCAAATAGTGGGTGTCTTTGGAGATTAGCGCAAGTCTCGCAGGTAGAGGCTTAGATGTGTGGCTTTCTTTGCAACGTACTGTAGGAGGAAATCCATACCGGACATGCGTGCAGTTGGCGGCAAAGACTTGGCTGTCAAATTGCCTCTTAGCCGCTAGTATGCGGCCCTCTTATAACCTCAAACTGGGTAGTAAATCGCACGCTTGCGTCTGGCGCTAGGCTGGCTGGTTCCCAGTGCAACCCGGACGGTTGGCAGCTGTCGCGGAGCAACGTGACCTGACCGCCTTGCCGCAAATATAAAAATCATGTCAAACATTATATATGTGTTAATGCTGTGTAGGCTATAGTGGGTTAGCCTTTAAGGGGTACACAACTCTAGGGTTTCATACTTGTACTCAAATGTTTCATAGTTCAATCACTTCTTGTTTCTAACATGGTATTAACAGCTTAGGTTCTAGACCTAAGGGCCCACCGTTCCGCTAGAGGTGCCCTCGTGCGCCCCTTTTTTTAGCGCCCCTGTGCGCCTTTCCCCTAGTGCGCCCTCGTGCGCTCTCCTCTCATGCTGCCCGTGTGCAGCCCACTAGCAGCCCGAGCGCGGCCCCGCCGTTTTATCGCGTGTAGGAAAACCGCCGCCCAGGGCGGCCCAATTTTTTCTCGCGAGCCCCAGCAGCCCGTCGCCCGTAGGCCTCGCTTGCCCCTAGGCCAACGCGCGACCCTCAGCCGCACGCCTGCAGGTCGCAGCCAGCGCGCCCAGAGCGTCGCAGCCCCACCCGTAGGCCGCCGCGACGCTCCTCTAGGCCGCCGCCCGCGCGCTAGTCAAGCCCACGCACAGCCGCGGCCCGCCCGCTACAGCCGCCCACGCGCACGCCCCTCGTCGCGCACCGCCGCGTAGCCCAGCCCGAGCCAAGCCGTGCCGCCCGAACCGAGCTGCGCCGCCCGAACCGAGCCGCGCCGCCAGAACCGAGCCGCGCCGCCCGACCTGAGCCGTGCCGCCCTACTGTGCCCCACCTGCAGCAACTCCTGTTCCTGTCGTACTATTGCTTCAGCTGCAACTGTTACTGCTACTGCTACTACTGCTACTGTTCCTACTGCTACTGTTGCCGCTATGGCCACTCTCTCTATTCTCACCTTTGACGCTGAGGGCCGCCCGATTAAGTTTGAAGTTTGGTTAGATGACCTCCACCTGTTCCTCCAGATCACTGCCTAGGACGATGTCTCACTGTATGACCACACGTCAGGCGCTGCTCCCGCACCTCCCGCTACTACTGACAGTACTGCTCGCTCCCAGTGGCAGACCCGTGATGCGCACGCCCGCCTAGCCGTTCGCAGCCACCTGCCGTTAGATGAGCGCGAGCACTTTGGCCTGCATAAGACCGCTAAGGAGCTGTACGATGCAGTAGTCGCGCGCTACTCCTCCCCTGCCACTGCTGCTATAGGCCGTCTCTCACTGCCCTACCTCTTCCTCGACCTGTCCGCCTTTGCCACTGTAGCTGACCTCATCACCCACCTCCGTACGAGTGACCTCCGCTACCGTGCCGCGCTCCCCCCAGATTTCCTCGCCAAGAACCCCCCCCCCCCCCCCCCCCCCCTCCCGATGTACCTCACACTGTACCACCTTGACACCCGCCTCCCTGACTCCCTTTGCACAGTCTGGGACCAGTTTCACGCCCTCTCTCCCACTGACCTCACTGTGGACCTCCTCGAGAAGGAACTCCTAGCAGCTGAGAAGAGCATTGTAGCTGTAGGTGCCTCTCGTGGTGACCCCCGCACCCCCTTCTTTGAGGGTTGCTCCCCCTCCCCCCTCCTCCCCTCCATTGCATCTACTGCTGCTGTCGACTACCTCGGAGCTGAGGGGGTCGGGGCCGCGTCTGCTCCTAGTGGGAGGCGCAAGGGCGCCAGGGGCAAGGGGGGCAGGGGTGGTGGAGGTGGAGGCGGGGGCGGCGGCGGTGGAGGGGGTGGGGGGGGCGGGGGTGGTGGCGGAGGTGGGAGAGGCGCGGGTGGTGGGGGGGTCAGTGGCGGCATAGGGGGCAGCGGCGGCCGAGGTGGTGGGGGTGGTGGGGGCGGTGGTGGCAGTGGTGGCGGCGCTGGAGCGGGTGGCGGGCGCGGTGGAGCGGTGTTACGTGGGGGGTTCGGCGGTGGCCAGAGGCAGCAGCAGCAGTGTCCCGGTGAGACTCCCTCGCCCCAGCAGCTCCGTGAGTGGTACTCTCAGCGTGGGGGGTCTGGGGGTGGAGGTACCTGCCCGTACGTCATCCGCACAGGTGACCGCACTGGCCAGACTTGTGGGAAGTTTCACACGGCGCAACGCTGTTTCTTTTGCCTCGATGACGCCTAGCGCGAGCAGTTCCCTGACGCCTCTGAGCTGCCCCGCTGGGCTGATCTGCTTAGGAAGGGGATTGATATCTTTGCTCTTGATTATGATGCTATCCTTGTTGCTATGTATGCATTGACTATTAGTGTTGAGGGTGACTGCTACCTGAGTGTACTGCCCGACCCACGTATTGGGACCAATGAGGCTGCAGCTCTAGGTGCTAGTGCGTCTGCTGCTCCAGGTCCTGGTGAGGCTGCCGCCCTAGGTGCTAGTGCGTCTGCGTCTGCTGGTACCGCACCTACTGAGGCACTACACACCTTCACACTGGACTCAGGTGCTTCCCGCTGTTTCTTTCGCGACCGCACTGCCCTAGAGCAGCTCCCTAGACCGGTTGCTGTATCCCTGGCTGACCCCTCCGGGGGTCCGGTCCTTACGACCTCCACCACTACCCTCCCTTGTCCTGCTGTCCCGTCTGGCACGCTGTCGGGCCTCTACCTCCCCTCGTTCTCTATGAACTTGGTGGCAGTCTCCGCGCTCCAGGACGCGGGTGTTCACTAGTTCACCCCGGCCTACGAGCGTGTGACGCACTGCACGTGTGCCCGGACGGGTTGTCACCTGGCTACCTTCACCGGCAGCCGGGGTCGGACTTGTACACACTGACCACTAAGTCCCCTCAGGTAGCTGTGTCTGCGTCTGCGTCAGGTCAGCTGTCGGCCCCCTGCTCGTGTCGCTCCTTGTTGCACAGGACTGTCCTCTGGCACCACCGCCTTGGTCACCCGTCAGTGCAGCGCCTTTGCGGCATGCACTCCAGGTACCTTGTCTCTGGTCTTCCCGGAGTTCTCCCTCCCCTGCCACCCTCGCCTGCTCCTCCCTGTCTTCCCTGTATCGAGGGGCGGCAGCGCGCCGCTCCTCACTCCTCCTCGTTCCCTCCCACATAGGCTCCCCTGCAGACTCTCCACCTGGACGTGTGGGGCCCCGCCCGCGTCCAGGGACAGGGCCACGAGCGGTACTTTCTGCTGGTCGTCGACGACTACACGCGCTACACCACGGTCTTCCCCTTGCGTACCAAGGGTGAGGTCCCTGATGTCTTGATCCCCTGGATCCGCGCAGCTCGTCTCTAGCTCCGCTAGCGGTTCCAGTCGGACTTTCCTGTCCTACGTCTACACTCTAACAGAGGTGGCGAGTTTTCCTCTGACCTCCTGGCAGCCTACTGTGCGGAACACGGCATCCGCCGGACGTTCCCTCTCCCGGCCTCTCCGCAGCAGAATGGGGTTGCTGAGCGCCGCATTGGTCTTGTCATGGAGGTCGCTCGTACCTCCATGATCCATGCGGCTGCCCCCCATTTCCTGTGGCCGTTTGCAGTGCAGTACGCCGCGCATCAGCTCAACCTCTGGCCCCGTGTCTCTGTTCCTGAGACCTTGCCTACCCTGCGTTGGACGGGGGAGGTTGGCGACGCGTCGGTGTTCCGAGTCTGGGGATGTCGAGCCTTTGTCCGCGACACGTCCGCGGACAAAATCTCCTCCCGTGCGGTTCCCTGTGTCTTCCTTGGCTTTGTCCCTGACGCTCCTGGCTGGCGGTTTTACCACCCCACCTCGCGCCGTTTCTTCCCCTCTCAAGACGTCACCTTTGACGAGTCGGTACCCTTTTACCGTCTCTTCCCCTACCGCACTGCCCCGCTCCCCCCCCCCCGCCGCTCTTTATCACCCCAGGTGTCCCGTCGGTAGACCCTCTCCCTCCCCAGGGTGCTGCTCCCTCAGGTGTTTCCAAGGTAGACCCGGTCGAGCCTGTCGAGGTAGCTGTTGACTCTGGTCCTGCGCGAGGTACTGAGCGTGGTGAGCCTGGTGGTGCTGGGTCTGGGGGCACTGAGACTGGGGGTGCTGAGCCTGGGGGTGCGGAGACTGGGGGTGCTGAGCCTGGGGGTGCGGAGACTGGGGGTGCTGTTTCTGGGGGTGCGGAGACTTTGGGTGCTGAGCCTGGAGGTGCTGCGACTGGGGGTGCTGAGCCTGGGAGTGCTGAGACTGGGGGTGCTGAGACTGGGGGTGCTGAGCCTGGTGGCGCTCCCTCTTCACAGCAGCTGCGTGAGTGGTACTCCCAGCGCTACAGCCTCCGTCGCGGGGCTACTGGAGCTGGGGAGTCTGCTGGAGTCGGGGCTGGTGGCCTCGCAGGTGCAGTGCCACAGCCAGAGCCTCCCTCCCCTCAGCGACTACGTGAGTGGAACGCTGGGCAATGCAGCCTCAGGAGTGGAGCTTCTGGTGTTGAGGTACCGCCAGCTAGAGGCCCTGCTGCTGGAGGTACTGCTGGTGCTGGTGCTGCTGGAGGTGCTACTTGTGCTGCTGGAGGTCCTGGAGGTGCTGCTGGTACTGCTGGAGGTCCTGGAGCGGCTGGAGGTGCTGCTGGTGCTGTTGGAGGTTCTGGAGCTGCTGGAGGTGCTG